CGTTCTTTCTTTAACAACTCTCTCGCTCTCTCTCCCCAGTGGTTTGCAGAGCGGTGGTTTTGGGGATAACGAAAACTGTGTGGTACCCGTTTGCGCTTTTGGGAACTTGGTGGCCTCGTCTTCGATCGTTCAGAGCAGGATATAATAATTTTAATTTTTAAGGGTAAAAATCTTAGTCCTGAATTTTATCTTTAATTCTGATTTCGTCTCTAAATTTTTAATTATTAATTTTATCTTAATTAAGTATTTTATCATTAACTGAAAGGTAATTCAATTAGATCTATTTCAACGTTCATTTAATAGTAGATATAAATGGAAGGTATGTATGGAAGTGCACCGGGAGAAAACAAATATTCGTCCAAATTTGTCTTATTTGAATAAGGATAAAATATATATATTAGATAATGAACATATACAAAAATAATTATAAAAATCTATACTAATATAAAGACGAGTATGTACTCAAACTTATTCTCGTCCCACTCCACTAAACCTATTAGTTTTTTACATATATATATATATATATATATACTCCCAATCACTGTGTCAATTAGTATTGGATCTTTATTGTTTATGTCATGATATTATTTAGAATGTTATTATTATGAATTATGTTGTAGACAAATTTTTAATCTTATTAGTATTATTATTGTTATTTTTGAATTAATCATGTAATGATGTTATATATTTAGTTTCTACCCATTATTGCCTCCCCTAAATGCAATATTGAAGGTTTTTAAATTTTGAGTCATCAACTTTTGTTAATTTATTTATTTATTTTTGGTTTTGATTTGTGATTCATGCATGCAACTTGTAGTTAGGGATGACAGTGAACCGGGGAAAAATAGTTATTCGTCCAAATTCGTTCCATTTGGACCGGGGATGGACTATACGTATTGGACGGTGGATGTATACGAAGAAACCTGTATAAACCCATGCGGGGATGAAGGCGGGGATGAACTTACCCTTACCCCCACCCCGTCCCCACCGCGTCCCCGTTTACCCGTTAAGTATATATATATTTATATAAATGTAAATATATATACCCATTAAACTCTAATGCCTCCAACTTACTCCTTTTTTTGACTTTCTCTATTAGCAACGCCACCCCCTTCGAACTCAGAGACTCTTGCCTCTCTGTCCCATCTCATCTTCGAAGCCATAACTCACAAGTCAAGCGGCCCAAAGCACAACACAAGCATCCTAGGTTTTTCTTTTATGCCCAGAAAATCTGAACCCAATGGTTGGATTTCTTATTGAAGTTTTGGATTCCTTCTGTTCCTTCTGTTTTAGACTTTGGCGACTAAATTTTTTCTTTTAAAAGGGTTTTTCTTTTAAAATGGAATAAAAGGCTTTCTTTTAAAAGTCTTTATACAAGTTCTTGGAAGTTGGAACTTTTTTGTCATGTTTGAAGTTCTAATACTCTTACAAATCATCCACTTAATTTAGTTTATGCAATTTTTAAAACTTTGAACTAATGATTTCGAGAGAAGTTTTCTTCTTGCATTATTATTTTCCTGATGACAAGTTCTTAATTGGTGATTTTTTTCCCCTATTCAATATAGTCAAAATTTTCTTTGACTGGACATAAATTGTCAATTAAAAATATTATTTCTTGACTATGTTTAATTATTTCAAATTGGGTATTTTTATAGATGTGGTTCAGTGGTTGCTGGGAATCTCCCTTATGTTAAGAGTTAACATATTTCAGTTTGGATGAGATATGGTGGTAGATTATAGAGTCGTTTCTGTATGTTTTCTTTGAACCGCACTGAACTACATATCTAACGTATTAGTTGTTGTTGAAGTAAAGCTCAGGAAGCTTCATGGATGATGGTCCTTGGCCTTGGGCTTGACATATTTACATATCTAACGTATTAGTTGTTGCTGAAATGTTGGATTTATTTAGAATTTTGAATTATGTTTGCTTGAACTTGGATTTAAACTTAGACTTAGGTTTGGGCGGGTACGGGAAAGCGGGGACGGGGATTATAAATTTACCCACGGACGGGAATGGAGATGAAAATTATACCCGTTAGCGAGGGTGAACCGGGGATGAACGAATATTTTTTAAGTGGGTACGGGGATGAAGACAATACCCCTCGTCCCCCGCTTCGGTCCATTAACATCCTTACTTGTAGTTTAATTGTTATATTTTTTTTATCAATTATAAAAATTAATTGTTATGGGTTGGGGTGAGATAAGGGGGTTAGAATTATCTGATGACGAATGATGAAGATAAAAATTAGCCCTATTAACAATAGTAGACTGAGGATGAGCAAAGTTTTTTTAAGCGGGTACGAGATGGAAACTACTCCCCTCACCCTAGTCCACTGTCATCTCTAATGGAAAGACTTAATTGAGATAAAATTAATAATTAAGTGACTAAATTGAGACAATTAAAACTTCAATAACTAATTATAATTTTAATCCTAATTTTAAAATTTTATGAACCTTATTGCCCTTAAAAGAGCAACGGCTAAAAAGCTGCCACGTAGATCTCAATTTATATTATCCTTATATGGATTGGGGACTGGACGTGGGTCTTATCTCTTGCAATGTTTTCTATCTATCTAAAGTGGGATTTGGACTTTGAAGGTGGCCGTTGCCTGGACAGCCCACTAGGCCCACAGTGTTTGTCCGATCTGCAACGTGGCTTTAGCCCTGCCTGAGAACTTCAAATCACGGGACCAAAAAAATGATTTATAGTCGGAGGAAAAAAAAAAAAAAAAAAAGAGGTTACTACAAGAGAATGGGAATTGGAGGAGAAATTTGTGAAATAACATAGTATTTTTTTTTCAGGAGTGAAATAAGGTAGTTAAAGATTATATATATATATATATAAAGTCAAGACATTATTACAAGGGAGCAGAACGATGAAGTTTGAACTTACAACTCTAAGGTCAAACAATTAAGGTGTCGTATATTAAACTAATCGCTAACCTCGACATACTAGAAGCTCACATTCAACAATTAGGAAGGAGGTTTGGAAATTTTGTGGTCCGTTAAAAATTTAGCACGCTTGAAGTCTATTCGTATATTTTATTTTTGAGAAAAAATTTTACATACCAAAATGGAAGGTAAAATTTTTATTTATTTTTTGTTTGGGACAAGTGTAATATTAATAGCTTTATTTTTTAATCATTCTTTCAGTAAATAATATTTTGGATATTTCAGAAATTATATAAGGGCTTTTGTAAGTTGGTACTTAATTTATCACTTAATTGTGAAAAAGTACTCAATATAAAATATTTTATACAAAATTTTTTTTTTTTGGATGACATAAATTAGCACATGGAGCAAAGAATGAATAAAGAAACTGTCATAAATTATGCAATAATCTCATTAAATTTGGCAATTGTTATATCCCTAAAAACATGAGTTTTCAAATTTTAAAAAATAAAATATGCTACAAAAAATCCTGAACTTTCAACAAAAAAAAAACACACACACACACACAAAAACGTTGAAACACCATTGAAGACCGATCTTCCTTTTATTATTATTCAAATTGCCGATAATATAACATTACAGTGATGCATAATAGTATAACACATTCATTAACACTTTAATCACTAACAAAAAATTGTGAAATTATATTCACTGATTCATACACAATCTAAATAGTATGCATTATATAATGTGACATCTATATATATTACTTTTAATGAAGAACAGTGTTACAACTTATATCATAATGTAATATTGCAAAATGACACTGTTGTTAGAATTGAGAATAATTAGAGTTGTTTAACATTAAAAAAATAAAATTCCAAAATCTGGGTCAAACAGTTAAGGTATATTCTATGTAGTATAATTTTTAATTTCAAACATGTTTAATACCTTAAAATATGAAACCATCAATATAATAAATTAAATCCCATAAAAAATGGGACTGTTAAATTAATAGGCCTCCAAATAAGAAAAAAAATATTTAAGTGAAAATATTTGAAAATCTGCCAATATGTATCGAATTTTGTATAAATGATGTGATTGAATCTCGGTCACATAATTTTTGGTGTAGGAGTATTTATCCCAAAATTTATAGCAGATTCTGACTTTAGATTTTTCATGTTTATTGGGTAAAGTTTGTTCAAAAAATGGGATATTTTTTTTTTAATTGTATTATCAATGAATCATGAAAATAATAAAATAACTTAAAATAAAAAAATTTACTTGTGAACTCATATCATATTTTGATTAGAAAAGTACGATACCGCGTCCCCGTTATGATTAACATTATTGTATTTTTTTTTGTGGGCATATGGGTTTCAGTTTCACGTGGTCACAGGTCACTTGGTGGGTCAATGGTTCTGTTTTGGATCTTTTTTTTTAACTTCCTTGGCTTCTGCGTTCGATATAGATATTCCCCAACAAATTTGGTCCTCATTGTCCGATATTCTTTTTTTTTTTTTTTTTTTAGGGTAAGAGTTGTTTGGGCCGATTTACGCATATCTCGACTAATCTCATCTTCGGTCTAATAAAAAATAACTCATCTACGCCGAGACTAAGATATTCGTGAAAGATTGAGAGATAAATCTCTCTTGGCCTGACGCTCAATTAATTGTCGAAATTTGAACTCATGACATCTGAGTTTATAGTTCGTTTCTGTTATCACTTAAACTATATCTTGAAGTTCAAGATTGCATATTATTATCTTATATCATTTTAGATTACCAAATTAAGTTCAAATGACAGTTTTTTAATAAATTATAGGAAAATACATGTGATCATCATACAATAAAGCAGCACACATATTATTAACATACAGCTCATTGAGCTTGTTACAAACTACATACAAACCAACTCCGTTACTTAACATTTACAGGAAAAATCAGCATGCTGAGACCCCACTCCAGAATAAATATAATGCATTTTGGTGGCTTTCGGCTGCTGATCCAAGGACAATACCTGTTCTACAAGACCACAACAAAAACTGAACTTAAACTCACACTTGAACATCTACAAACAAACCACCATAGAGAGATTTAACACTAAATCTAGGGTATGTTGTGGGCTGCACCAGCTCTATGTCTTGTAGCAAAGCGATTAACCAATGCCAGTGCATTACTGGTGACCTGAGCAACACTGATGACCCTGCTTTTAATTGCAGCCTTCACATTTCCATCCATGGCATTATCAGCAAAGCCATTAACACAAGTGTTCTCATCGGTAAGAGCAGCACTGACCCATGTCTGAACATTGCTCGCGTGCCACATGAAGTCCTGGCCATTGCCTCGACCCATGTACCCGAGCTCTTGGACCGATTGGTTAAGCTGATCCACAGAATAAGCCATGTTATCAATGCAATCTTGTACTGCTTGGTAGACTCTTGGATTGAGTCCTGTAGTTTTAGCTATCCTGGAAACAAATGCTGAGGTGGATTGAGCCCTGGCTAAGCTCACAGACAAGGCGGCTTGGGCGAGTTGCCGCTGGCTTTGTTGTATGGTGTTTGCATAACTTGACAGACACTGAACACACAAAGCAGGATAGAGAGTGGCTCTGCATGATGCCCTGATGAAGTCTATGCCTGAGGGATTTGAGGAAACAGTAGACTCTGCTATGCCATCCATATAAAGACCAAGCAAAGTAAAACAAAGACCAAGTTTTGGCAAGTAAAGAACAAGTTTCGCCATCTCTTTGATATGTGAGAATGGACTGGTACTGTATCAAGTGAATTAGATCTTGGAAGCCTTATATAGAGGCCTAAATGAAGGTTGTGTATCCTCTTGAAGAGATCAATAATAAAAGTTCAATTATATTTGCCAAAGGAAACTTCTCTTGAGATTAAATAAAAGGTTGTCACATGCCTGCCTGCCTGTCTGCTTTTGGCTCTTTCTTTCCTTAACAAGTTATCCTCTCTTTTTTTTTTTTATCCCCTTTGTAGAGTATCTATATCTCATAATTTCATGCTCTATTGGGGGCTGTAAGCTTCCTAGTAACCTTCTCTTTTCCTACACCAGATCTCTATTTACTCACCATGTGTCCTCTGTGTTCATTACAAGTAAGCAGACCACACACAAGTATTAAAAGCTAGTAAATTTTTCGGAAATGCAAATACAACATAGACACATCTTTTTTGTAGTCAATTGAGGCAGTTACCAAGAAATTTGTAAATTTAAATTGATATTTAAAAAGCGAAAGTGTATCGGTTTTGAAGGAAAACTATGACATATATGCTAAATAAAAACAGGGTTGAGAATAGGATGAGCAATTTAGGAGGGCTTGGGGGAGAGATTACTGATACAGGTCAATGTGATCTTGATCAGTTGCCAGTAGTCTTGACTTGAATATAAACACAAAATGAAGTAATAATAGTGCAAGTCTCTGCCTCGATTTTTGCAAACTAACCACAATAATTTAAGTGGCTGGTCCCTTCTTGTTTGTTTTCATAGTCACCTAACAACTAGTATTAAATGATATAAAACAATGTTATATGCCAGAGACTGACATAATTAGCCATAGATATTAGCTTGCTTTAAAATCTGGAGTCAACCAGCGGATATAACATAAACATGTAGACACAAATTTTTTTTTTTAATTAATTTCACGCAGATAGAGTATTTTCAATCCCATATAACCTTTAATAAGAATCCTTCCTCTTACATCAGACAAAGATGTGTTGTTGAAGTTGATGTCACGGTTTCTGCTTACATCTAGCCATGGAACCATGCTGTAGAGCCTAGCTTGGTTCTACTTCTTAATCACAAAGATCTCAACTATACCCATTTTTGCAGAAAGACTGCCCCACCTCCAGGAGACATCTTACCTTGATTCCAGGGTGAAAAATTATAGCAAAACAATGATGGAAAATTAAACAGAAGGAAGAGAACCTTTGGGTAGAAGTGATTAATAAAAACTACATTAACCAGGTGAACAACACCTGGAAGTGGAAAGGGACTGCCTCTCCAACCTGGAGAGCTGTCCTAAAAACCAAGAAACTTCTGGAAGGGAAAAGGGAACTTAATGGGTTATTGGGAATGGGGAGAATATTCTCTTCTGGACAGACTGGTGGCTGGGAAATGAGCCCTCCTCAGAAAACTACACTACTCTCCTTCAGCCAACCTCCAATGCAAAGTCTAAGAGGTCATCGATTATTTTGGATAATCATGCATACCCCCCTCCCCAGTTTTGAAACCTTCCTCAACAGACCCTGTCTGTCCCATAATGGAAAGTTCAGTACTAAGTCCATCTATGACCTCTTAACAAATGAGGACAGACCCCAACAACAGCCAAACTGGGACTGGTTCTGGAAGCTGGAGTTACCCCAGAAACTCAAATTTTTCTTATGGTTGGTGCAGCATGACAGATTACTATCCAACCAACTAAGAGCCAGAAGGAGCATGACTACAGAAGCGACCTGTACCAGATGTAACATATTTGAAGAGTCAACAATCCATATTCTGAGAGATTGCTCCAAAGCACAGAAGGTTTGGAGAATCTTTCAGAAGAGAACTGAGCGGACCTCTGACCAAAGCCTGAGCCTGCCTAACTGGTTGAGAAAAAACTTCAAGGATAGGGATAATAAAACTTGTAGAGGTGTCAATTGGATCACAATCTTCACTTTCATCATCTGGCATATATGGAAGGATAGAAATAATGAATGTATTTCTAAGATATACACAGGTCACTAGGTAATGGCGAGTAATGCGTGGCAAGCAGCAAGAGAGAATGACTCAGCCTTCCAAGGCAACCAGCAAAGCAGTCCAGCAAAACAAACTAGACTAATATCCTAGTCTTTTCCTTGTGCAGGATGGATGAAGTTGAACACTCATGGCTGCTCTAACGGGGAACCAGGATCAGTTGGAAATGGAGGTCTCATTAGGAGCGACCAAGGCCTATGGAAGATTGGTTTTTATGGAAAGATGAACACCACCACAAGCCTGCAAGCGGAGCTATGGGCCATTCTCAAAGGGCTAGAATTGGCACAAAGGAAAGGATTTAACAGAATTGTGTTGGAGATTGATTCTCTTGATGCTTTTAACCACCACACCAAACCACTGGAAGAGGACCACCCAAACAAAGCAATTATAGTGAATTGCAAGCACCTGATGATCAACCAAATTCACATGGCACACACCCTGTGTGAGGGGAATCAGTGTGCAGATATCCTCGCCAATCTAGGAGAACAGCAGCAAGACAGCATTGTGGAGCTGCTGACTCCACTGTACCAAGTGCCACAAGCCATTAGGGCAGATTTAATATTTGTTGCTTTTGTAAGGGAGACTTAGCTCCCATTTAAACATTCCAAAGCACCAAAAAAAAAAAAAAGGGTGAAAAATGATGGGTTTCTGCAACTCCATTGTGTTCACCAACATTTACTTATAGAACCATACTGATGAGAGTGGATCCATCTTGGCTCACTTTATTAACCCCAATTGTACTTAAATTGCTAGTGCACACCAGTCTGCAGCTTTTTGTTTTCACTTTGTTTGTGAAGTTGAGCATCCTCAAGATTCGGCACAAACTCCTCCTGCTCCTATTAGTGCCATAGCTTTCATCTTCCCCAATCTCAATTTCCTGCCTAATAAAAATTGTTTGTAAGCAATTCGGCCTTGCTGTTGAGATTGTTAATATTTATCAATGAAAATGGAAGAAGAACATATTCATTAAGATTAACAAGATCTGTATTACAGACACATAAAACAAACTACAGAATAATAACCTTATATACTAGGGCAAGACATAGCAATGTAAATGACTAATCTACCCCTACTGCTAATCTACCCCTATTGCTAATATACTATATTACTCTAACATCCCCCGTCAAACTCATGATGTGATAGCATTAAACATCAAGAGTTTGCCAAGGAGAAAACGAAAGCGCGCAATAGTGTGAGATTTTGTGAAGAAATCAGCCAACTGCATAGTAGAAGAAAGATATGGGAGAGAGATTGTGTCCAGCTGAAGATGATGGCGCACAAAGTGACAATTAATCTCTATATGTTTGGTGCGCTCATGAAACACTGAGTTGTGTGCAATTTGGATAGCACTGGTGTTATCACAATATAAAGGAGTAGGAGTAGTCAAGAAAATGCTAAGATCAGCAACCAACCAACGCAACCAAACTATCTCTGCTGTGGTGGATGCCATAGCACAATACTCAGCTTCAGCAGAAGATCGAGCTACCACAGTTTGTTTTTTGCTTTTCCAAAAAATAAGAGAATTACCAAAAAAAAGACAAAAACCAATGGTAGATTTGCGATCCATAGAGTCACCAGCCCAGTCCGCAACAGAGTAAGCACGGAGCTCCAGAGACGAAGAAAAAGAAAATAATAAACTCTGATGTAATGTATCCCGTAGATATCGAAGAATCCGAAGAACGACAGACCAGTGTAGTGTGGTAGGAGCAGCAACAAACTGACTAACCACATGAACTGCATAAACAATATCTGGACGAGTAACGGTAAGATACACCAAACTTCCAACAATAGTATGATATAAGGTAGGATCAGGCATGAGAGAACCATCAGAGGAAGTATAACAAACGTTGAGCTCTAAGGGTGTGTCAACTGTTCGAGTATCCGATAAGCAAGCTTGCTGAATAACATCTAAAGCATATTTTGACTGAGAAAGAAGATAACCCTTGGAAGAGGAAGCAACTTCAATCCCTAAGAAATATCGAAGTGGACCCAAATCCTTCATCTCAAAATAATCTTGTAACTGAGTTTTCAACAGCTGAATTCCAGCAGTATCATCACCTGTAATAATTATGTCATCCACATAAAGTAGCAGAAGAATGAAACCAAAAGAAGTGGATCGAAGGAAGAGAGCAAAATCATGATCACTAGCACAGAAACCCAAATCACAAATAACTGAAGAAAATTTTGCAAACCATGCCCTCAGAGCCTGTTTAAGACTATAAAGCCTTGTGAAGTTTGTACACATGACCAGGACTACAAGGCAACCCAGGAGGACGAGTTATATAGACCTTTTCAGATAAATCACCATGAAGAAAAGTATTTTTCACATCCATATGAGATAAGCTCCACTGATGAATAGCTGCCACAACTATTAGTGTGCGAATCGTGGTCATCTTAGCCATTGGAGCAAGAGTCTCATAATAGTCAAGCCCATACTCTTGAGCAAATCTCTTGGCCACTAATCTAGCCTTGTACCTTTCCACAAAACCATCAGATTGAGTTTTGATTTTATAAACCCACTTCCAACCAATGGGGCGTTTACCAAGAGGTAAAGGCACCAACTCCCAAGCTCGAGTCTTATGTAAAGCAGAAAGCTCCTCATCCATAGTCTGTTGCCAAAGAGGATCAAGTATAGCCTCCTTATAGGAGGTTGGTTCAGACAGAGAATATATAGAAGTCAGGAAAGAACAAAAATCAGAAGAGTAACAAGAGTTGGACCAACCAAACCTGTCAGGACACTTCCGAGTGCGCTGAGGGTAACAGGGAGTGTGATCCACGGTGTCAGAATTTGATTGGGAGCCAAGAGGTGCGGATGAAGGCACATCATCTGTGGAGGAGACAGTGGGAGTCCTGTGAACATAAGTATGAACAATAGGGGGCCGGGTAACAGACAGATCAAGTAAAGAGGAAGAAGAAGAAGAGGAGGGAAGATCAGTCACAATCATATCACCAACATAGGAATCAGAGGAAACATTAGAGGGAAAGGGATCAAGATAGATAAGATCAAATTTATGCAGAGAGGAAGAACTAGATGGAATAGAGAAAAAAGGAATATGCTCTATAAAAGCAATATGGCGAGACACATACAATTTTTGTGTACTAGGATCATAACAACGAAATCCCTTTTGTCCCTCACCATAGCCAAGAAAAACACATAAGGTCGAGCGAGCCGAGAGTTTAGTACGATTAACACTAGTTAATAGAACAAAACATGTATATCCAAACACACGTAAGGAGAAATAGTCAGGTGCCTTACCACATAATTTTTCAAAAGGTGAGACACCAGAATTAAGAATTGTAGGAATGCAATTGATCAGGTGAACTGCTGTAAGGACTGTTTCTCCCCAAAAGGAGCTAGGGACACTGGATAACAATAACAGAGAACGCGTTGTCTCTGTAATGTGACGGTGTTTCAGCCACTCCATTCTGAGCAGGTGTGTCGGTACAAGAAGACTGAAAAATAACACCATCAAATTTCAATAAATCACAAAAAACACTAAAAGAATATTCTCCACCTTGATCACAGCGGAAACATTTGATGATAGAAAAATATTGAGTATGCACCATAACACGAAAGGTAGTGAAAATGGAAAAAAACTCAGACCTACGTGTCATCAGATACACCCAATAATATCTAGTATGATCATCAATAAATGAAACATAATATCTATACCCCCTTTGAGTAGTAATAGGAGCTGATCCCCAAATATTAGAATGTACAAGATTAAAAGGTGCAAGAGAACGAGAATTACTTTTATTGAAAGGTAATGTAGTAAATTTTGCCAACTTGCAGCCACTAAAATCTGAAAAATCATGACACTCTAAACTACACAAACTACCGGTAGAAGCTAAAAATTTTAAACGAGAATGAGAAACATGACCTAAACGAGAATGCCATAAATAAAAACTAGATGATTTTGAACTCAATTGAAAGGAAGACAAATTAACAGTAGATGCAACAACTTCAGGGACATAAAGCTCATCCAACACATATAGCCCTCCATTTCTATGGCCTGTCCCAATCAGCCTCTTGGACTGTGGATCCAACACAATACAACCAGTAAAAGAAAAGTGAACTAAGAATCCCGAATCAAACAACTGACTAACAGAGATTAAATTTAAAGTAAGGTGAGAAATATAGTAGACATCGGGAAGGGTAAGCTGGGAAGACACAATAGTTCCAACACTAACCAAAGACATTTGGGTGCCATTGGCTGTAAGAACAGATATAGATGGAGGAGAAATAATATAAACAAATAAGGAACAGTTACTAGTCATATGATGGGTGGCTCCTGAGTCAAAGACCCAGGCAGTTCAAGATATACCAGAAGGACCTGTAGTGAATGAACCTGTGGAGGGAGAAACAGATAAGGCACCTGGTTGATGAAGGGAAAGAAGCTTCAGCAATTGATCAGCTATCATAGTCATGGTGGGAGCTGATGGAATTGACTCATCCACTGGTGAAGCAGCTGCTGCTGTATGATGATCTTTGAGCTTAAATGGCTAATGTAAGGCCCCCTTAGCATTCTTGTTCACTAATTTAGGACACTGAGCCTTCCAATGACCTCTCTCACGACAAAAACTACACTCATCTGAAGCAGCTCTATCCCGATATTTAGTCTGTGGGTGAGAAGTCCCTCTGAGTGGTACAACCAAAACAGTCTGATTAGACAATGAAAGAAGATCCTTTCCAGAAAGAGTCTTAAGACGGACTTCTTCAGCCAGAAGCTCATTCACTACTGCATCAACTGTGGGAAGTGGGAGACGATGGAGAATAGAACCACGAAGTCCCTCAAAGTCATATCTAAGAGCCATTAAAAATGCACCAACCGCTGCTCCTCCCTAAAAGTACGATATACCATATGAGTACTTAATTCAACAGATTCAACAAGGGCTAACTGATCTTAAAATCCAGTTATAACCGAGTAGAACTCCTGTATGGTCTTATCACCCTGACGTGCAGCTCGAATTTCATGCTCAAGCTGATATCTCTTTACAAAATTAGACTGAACAAACAATGTAGCTAAATAATCCCAAATCTCCTTGGCTGTGTTAAACTTAGCCAAATGCACACCAATAGTCTGATCTACTGAGTTGTTAATCCAAGTGATGATTTTAGTATTGTTAATTTCCCAGGTATTCTTTAAGTCAGCATATTCCTTTGCCTTCGTATCTGTTGGAGCTTGCAAAGCACCACAACCATAACTCCACATCTCTTTCCCCAACAAAAAATTCTTCATAACATAAGACCAATATACATAATTTTCACCATTTAATCTGACACTAATAGCCTGAAGAGATTCAGAATGTCCACTTGTCATAACATTAACAAAGTGTCAATACTCTAGCAATATCAGAATATCCCCAAGATAAAGGAGGAGGAAACAACAATATTCTAGCAACACAGCAAAACAACAATATTCTAGCAACACAGCAAAACAACAATATTCTAGCAATCCAGCAAAGCAATAAACAACCACACAACAACAATCAGTCCAACCACACAACAGCAATTAGAAATTCGATCACAAAACAGAAAGACGGTTGGTGCACTTGGAAATAGTCAAGCCAAGAGAACATAGGAGTCTAAGCCAGTCGGTGCACATGCACTTGGAACCAGTCAAGTCGAGAAAACAAAGGAGAGAAGACAGTCGGTGCACTTGGAACCAGTCAAGCCAAAGAAACAGAGTAGAGGAGGCAGTCGGTACACCGAACAGAGCACCGAGCAAGTTCAGTCGGTGCACTTGGAACCAGTCAAGCCAAGGAAATAGAGGAGAGGAGGCAGTCGATTCAGTTGGTGCACTTGGAACTAGTCAAGCCAAGGAAACAGAGGAGAGGAGGCAGTCGGTACATCGAACAGAGCACCGAACAAGTTCAGACCAACCAAATCTCATCCCAAACGGTTGGTTATCGTCGGTGATCTTTTTCTAGACTTAAATCATGTATATTATTTGGGTTTAGGGATCATAACATGCTCTGATACTATGTTAATATTTATCAATGAAAGAGGAAGAAGAACATATTCATTAAGATTAACAAGATCTGTATTACAGACACATAAAACAAACTACAGAATAATAACCTTATATACTAGGGCAAGACATAGTAACGTAAATGACTAATCTACCCCTACTGCTAATATACTAGATTACTCTAACAGAGATCACCACTAAATATTTCTATGGTCTTTAGGTGCTTTCTGAGTGAGCAGCAACACACTTCATTAGAAGTGGTTAGGCAGGTTCCAAGTCTGTAGTTCACTAAAAACTTGTGCAAGTACGAGAGTTCACTAAGGAAACAAACACAATACTTGATTTGACAACAGTGCAGCCACATTCAAAGTGCCTCCATATGATCATAATAACCACCAAAGGTTTTTGCAACTCTAGCTGTATGAAAGAAATACATAAGCATTTGCTTGGATGCAGCATGGAGATCATAAGATGATGTTCACATGGAAATTGAAATGAATGTAGAAACCATAAGTATTATTCTTGAAATTCAACATAACCATTCGGAAAGTTTTTCACCACCATGAGTGGTAATATCGCAAGTTTCACATAAATCATGTCAAAATACAACACACATCTGCTCTTTCCAATATCATTATACATTTATCCTTTCTGAGCAATGCAGCAGTATGGTCGACATTAACCAATAACTCGCTACGAAGTATGAACATGGGAAATGATAAAAATATTTACGACCTGAATATTAAACTGTGATGTATTTGATCACAGCCCCGCGGAGCTTTTCCATAAATTCTGCTGCTTGTTTCTGCAAGATGGAAACAAGCATTATTTGAAGTTTGAAATTTCAAATGATATGGCTGCGGTTTTATAATGTAATCTAAGTAAAAATAACTTTGGAAAACTTTTCAAGAGAGAGACCGTTTCATTGCTTGTTATGAATACTTTATGGTGATGTGATACGAAAGGTCCATTATATTACTAAAACGCACCAATTCGCGCAATGGCTTAGAAGAAAAGATTTTAGAACCTTTAGTAATCATGTTTTCTCCTATACCTACAATTTGGGGACCAGCTTGCAATATTTAACATTCAGAAAACTGCCAAGCCATTGGAAGACCCTGATTTTGTAATGTACCACTAACAGACAAGAACTGAATGGAACAGAGGCATTGCCAAAATCAAAAACAAGATCACAAAGGTATTCCTAATTTGATTTTCTACGAAAGAGACAAACGACGAACACTGGATGTCCTGTACCCAAGAAGCTATTGACATTATTTTTAGTGTAAGAAAGAAGTGCAACCACAATTTCCTGAGAATGACTTTAGGGTCTATAAGCCAGTGGCTGTGCCAATATTTACTCAACCAACTGAAGAATATCATCTTTGAAGTTTTTTGAATAGAGAAAAAAAATTTATGGAGCAAGGATACAAGGCTTGATCACAATTGAGTTGCAGCGTGGATAACAGATTAGTTCATGTATGCTGTATGCACAGGACAACACCATGAGGACTTCTATGAAGACGTGATGGAAAGGTATTTTTCAAGAACCTCACACCTGGTTACCCTTATGAGCATTTGCTATGTTTTCATCAAGAAGTGTCAACAAGGATCTGTTGATCTCATTCCGCTCAACCATCTCCAGTAACTGCATAATGTTAGATTATTTTTCAGCTGTGTGATATACATCTCGAAAATGTGAAATATAGAGGTTAATTTGCTGATAAAAAGTACCACATACAGTTGCTTTTATATCCTTTGATGTCAAGATTTTTGTCAGGCTCTCCCTTGCCCTTACGAGGTCAGTTTGCATTTTATCATATGCTTCTGTAGAAATATAAGGGGGCAAATATAATGTGGGTTTCCATATAACAAGTGCATATTAAAATTCTTGACAGTTTTCGAAATTTACGAATATAGCAAACCTGTTCCTTCCTGCAGAGCCTTTTGCAGAGCTTCCAGCTCAACCAATCTATCTTCCATGTCCTACAAAAACCATCAATATTGACTCTGCTCATACATTTGGGCATTATGTAATTAACATATGTAGATGTAGACAAACCTGAGTTTTTGACGTGGCAAAACGCAGCTTTCCTAGTTCCAACTGCAGATGTGAGAAAAATTCCGGGTTCAATCTGCAAATTTTAATGTTCAGACGATGTGGTAATATGAAAAGTTTTTCTATTTTTTTTTTATTTTGGGGGGGGGGGGGCGGGTTTGCTAGTTAGTTTTCTGCTTCATTATTCACAATTGCATACCTACACCTAAGAATTTTATTTCCAGACACTTAATTTATTTATCTATTTATTTTGAAGAACGAATTCTTCTTGTTTAGAAGGAAGGATTAAGTCATTCACACAATAGCAGAATAGCTTCTACTTAGAATTCGTGAATCTGACTTTCTCATTACTTCAATTACCAAGCCCAAGGATATTGAGATCTTTGATTCCCAGTCTTGACTTAATTTAAATGAGTTTGGTTAGTGGATTACTGCTCAATTTGACATTTACTTCCCATTTGCCATCTTCTCAACATTATCTTTTACATGATTATAAAATCAGCTAAACTCATACGAGGCTCAATTACAAATTATGCCAATGAGCCCCCAAAAAATTGAAATTGAAATTCATGACTCCCTGTGTTGAAGAATCAAGACATGTCAGCAAGACAAGTCAGCAAATAGAGCCAGCTGTGCAGAGCCAGTTGTTAGTTTGTTACAGTTTGTTACAAAATTAGTTAGGAAGTATTTAATTAGTGAGAGTTAGTTAGATTTAGTGATGCTTGAATGTCGGTGAGTTTGTGTATAAATACACTTGTAATATTCTCCTGATTCGTTAAGTGTGGAATAAGACATATCTTCTTCCCCAAGCCTCTACTCTCTTCTTTCACTTTTCCTCTGTTCACCACTGGTTTTATCACCCTGGTTGTATAATCATTCATATAAAAGAGAATAGAATCCACAAGGATGGACATAGAAGCAAAATTTCAAACACCTAAGATACAATATTTCTATTCATATTCTCAAAATACCAGACACCAAATTAACCTTTTTTGGGATTAGAGAACTTACAGGAGTCTCAATCTTGCTATCTCAAACTCAATCTCCCGAGCTTCGGTATCGAGAAAGTACTCTATCAGCTCAGCTGGAGTATCCGGCACAACCCGAGACTAAAAACAGCAGAAAACAACAAAATCACAATCACAAACTTCACACACATAAAAAAAGATCATTGCACCAGTATACCCACTGAATTACCTCTCGAAGAGCTCGGCGACGCTCTTTCTCTTCACGGACTTCACGCTCGAAGGCTTCTCTGGCTTCGGCGTCTCTCTCAAGGCGTCGCCGGAACTCAAGTCCGGCGATGTGGCCGGTTTTAGGAGGGCCAAGTACGCCTTCTGGGTCCTTCCTTCACATAAACAACATCAAGAATAATCAGTTTTCATCACAATGCTTCACACATACACAAAAACACACACACATATACACGGAGAGAGAGAGAGAGACCCATCCTATGCAACGGATTTGATTTGGGGTTCGGAAACGGCTTTGGTTTCGCAGAGCTTTATTTTGGTAGATTGCAATGGCGGTTGTGTTGGCAATGCTTAGAGAGGCGGGCAATGCCATGACTCATGAATGGCCGTTTCAAAGCTCTGGACAGATACTAACGTCTGGTTGTTAGTGTTTTATCCGTTTGAATGCGCGCAAAGCAAATCATATATGGCCGCTGATTATTCTCTACGCTCTACACTCTACAGGCCAACCGCCCAGGCCCATTTAAAAGGCTAATAGTTCAAAAATTATGGTAACAACCATGATCCAGGTACAATTGGGCTAGCCTTTTAATGTCCAGCCCAGTAACAAGCCTGCTACACAAACACGGGCCACACGGCCGCTTTGATAATTGACAATCTCTCTCTCTCTCTCTCTCTCTCTCTCTCTGTTGTTCTGATATAGTTTAGTAGCCAGAATTTGGTCCATCAAGCGTATGCAAAGTGCGAAAAACTTTGAGAGGACTGATTTTATAAGCTTGTAACTCGCAAGGGTCACTTAACAAATTTTATTTATTTTAAAACGATGCTCAAATCTTAAATAGAATGGTTGTGTTTGCATGTGTATCTTCGACGAACATGTTGACTCACTTTATTGTGTTAATTTCATAAATGAATGCTCGGGTCAAGAAAGGTTCCTAATTTTAGGATCTGGCCCTTTGATTAGTCCATATAATGGTTTTTAGGCCCCAGAGGAAATGCATTTCAAATGTAGCACATCAATTAAAGTCATATATGCATTTTTTTTTTTAGTTTAATGGTTAAGAGTATTTGTGTTACATGTACCTCAATTAATTTTTTTTTTGGTCCGGTTAAAAGTAAACTATTAACACTGCGACTAGGGCATTCATAAGAGATAAATCTCTCATGGCAAGGGCTGATAATTGAGTCGAGTTACTCGGCTCGGACTCTAAATGAACCGAATTTGAACAATTTTTTAGACTTATTTAGAAAACAAGCCTAGAAGGGTTAGCTCGATCTCACAAAATTTGTCTTTGTTTATATGTGAAATAGTTGAGTTACTCGAGCTCGATTCGAGTTCAGCTTGTTTTGGATTCGGTTTAGACTCGGCTCGGTTCATTTTTTAAACGAGCCGAGTTTAAATAATTTTTTAGATTCGTTTAAAAAAAAGAGTTTAACAGGTTTTGGTCAAACTCGTAAAACTCGGCTCGATTATTAACCTTACTTGTGATCCGACTCAAATGCATTGTTAAAATTTAAACTCAATTCATCCTTATTACCACTTGGATTATTAAATTAGTCATTTATGCGCTTGGGCCAATTGGGGATATGTTTCTTTTTCTTTTTCTTCTTTTGTCATTGTTTGGGATGTGTTTAATAGGTAGTTATCAAGCTGATTCTGGATTGTTTAGCATAGCCGGCCTCACCCAAGTTTCTAAAATTGTATATTTTTTCACTTATATTCATACAAATTCCAAAAAATTATTTACTTGATCTTTCTAAAATATTGACACAGTTGCTTCGATCCCCACTTTGAATCTTCTAAATCATCTGATAAATTCATCCATGGAATTAATAAATAAAAAAAGAATAAGAATACGTGTTTTCTCTTTTATTTTTGTATTTTTCAAACACCGAAACGACTTGATCATCCCTTAGCTTGGTTACTTTTCAAAATGAATCTTGGATGAAAAATTAATCCCATCAAATCATTAAATCTTATCTTCAACAGTCTGCAGAATGACTTTTTGTTGGAATAAAAATAGCCTGCCACTTCCTGGGTATAAATTCTTCCAAACCCGTTTGATTAAAGGCACAACAAAAATAATAAAAATTGTCGGACTGGTGTTTCGGTGACTTGTCATGTCATGTTTATAGTCCTAGTTAGCACGGTGACTTGTCATGTAATGTTTGTAGTCCTAGTTAGCAAGAAGGATTCGATTTTTCGAGACTCTCGTTACTCTCGCTAGCAATTTTGTGGTGCAAGGGTTAAGGTATGACTTGTGTCGGCTTCCAAAATTTCCTACCATTTAGGCCCAACCGGAGAAGGCTTCCGTTCTAGGTTCAAGTTGCTATGATTACTCCCTGACAAATGTTTCACCCTAATTATCTTCTCAAACTCTTTTACATCGTCAAAATAATAATAATGAAACACCTATAATTGTTCAAAACAGTTGAATATTCAATGAGTTTGGATTGGAACCCACCACCAAATCAATACTTAGGTCAAGTACTATCTGCAACAACAATAACAAAAAAAAAATCTGCATTAAATATGAAAAATAGGATGGATAAGTGTAGGATTATGATTATGATATCGTGAGATTATTGGTTATGTGTACACGTACAAATTTAGACTTGTCAAATAGAACCCTCTACACTTTTGAATCAATCAGCTAGGAACACGTCTTTTCTTGACTGAGCCTAATGTGTTGTTGGGTCAACATAAGAGGTTTAAATATCATTAAAGAGGTTTAAATATCATTAAATTACTCTGAAATTAAAGACCATTTCATGTTCTGTGGTCAAAGTTGAATTGTAAAAATGCATGGTAACAGGCAATTGATGACAAGAGAAGTGTGAACTGTCCTCAATTCCTTGACAATGATATACATGGATTATTTCGGTTCTTATGATCTTTTCAACAAAAAATAATTATAATATATGAGCTAAATTGACTATCTAAGTTAATAAATAATATGTTATGCTTATAGTAAATTTTTGACGGGATGTGGACGACTCGTCAATCACAAATCAACAGGTGGCGCGTTAAAACTCTCTCCAAGTTTTCATGGGCTGAGACTGAATGTTGAGCTTCCCTAAGACGAGTAAGTGTGCACTAAGAGTAAATGAACGCATACACGTCTCACTCGAAATAGTAATCAACCTGGGAAATGCGCTTCGTGCTATAATGTGACAGACAATATTACAGTCACATCAACTAAGAACCTATATCAAATCGATAGAAAGATAAGAGATATGGTCATTGCTGATAAAAAAAAATTTCAGGGGTATCAAATTGAATGCTCG